TTGTTGGTCAACATTTAYGCTGATTGAATTTGATGTTTTCTAACATTTTTGTGGCTGAAAGCTTTAATATTAAATAACCTATTTAAAAAAAYTGGGAAGATTTAGGTGATCAGTTTTGTAAAATGATTAGGACAGTGCTGCTCAGGAGGAGCAATGTGAAATGCATTTGGAAGTAAAYTTCTAATAAGTTTTGGCAAAAATGCTCAGGAGAAAATGAGAAAATATTTGGAAAGCTTTTTTAGTTATTAGAATCTTCAACTCACCACCTGCATTTCAAAAAAAACAATTTGGACTTAAAAGCTTTTCCAAATCTTTTCAAGTTGAAACCCAAGGAAACCAGTCTAACACTGACTTAAACTTGTTCTGTGTGAAGCTTGAGCTAAGTGGAAAAAGAAATACAGGGAAAGTGAAGCCRCAGCCCAGGAACATTTTTCCTGGTGTTAGTCATCCCAACTGCCCCTGGCACAGCCCAGAACATTTCAGATTGCTCTCTCTGGTGTAGGATGGCTCAGCAGCATCCAGGGCAGTTCTGGTTTTGGTTGTTTTGGTATATTCAGTCTGTTCTTATCTCAGTGCCTGGTTTTGGTTGTTTTGGTATATTCAGTCTGTTCTTATCTCAGTGCCTGGTTTTGGTTGTTTGGTATATTCAGTCTGTTCTTATCTCAGTGCCTGGTTTTGGTTGTTTGGTATATTCAGTCTGTTCTTATCTCAGTGCCTGATTTTGGTTGTTTTGGTATATTCAGTCTGTTCTTATCTCAGTGCCTGATTTTGGTTGTTTTGGTATATTCAGTCTGTTCTTATCTCGGTGCCTGGTTTATGGTGTTTAATCTCCTGGAGCAAGAACTGCACAGCCCTAGCTACTGTTTGCAGTGAGGTGTTTTCTAGAGCTCTGCCACCACTTTTTTCATGCATTTTCTCAAGTTAGAGGCTTATTTAAGAGGGCTTTCATACTTTGCTGAGTATAACAAAAAGGAAATCTGCTGTTTAACCCCTTGTGGAATAATGCCTGGCTGTTGGATGTGAGTGTGTGGGGCTAAAACTCACAGGGACAGCCCTGCCACCYTCCTTCRGTTTTGAAATGTTCATTTTGCTGATTCCTTCATGCTGCCATTCTTGTTTGGGAGGAGCTGATTATTTCTTCCTCGCARCTTTGAGTGCTTTCCCAGACCTGATCATTGATAGGATGTTGACGTGTTAATTCACCACCCTGTGACWGTTTCACAATTTCCTCCTATCTCCATCTGTACTTACTGTGCTCTTGTCTGAAACCTGAAATCCAAGATCTTTGTGTGATTTATTCCCTTGTTTCGTCTGCTCTGTGCCAAGCATCATGAGATATCCTGGCCCTAAAATCAGGTTTGSTCCCCATGTTGGTAATACAAATCATCATTTTGGTCAGTGGAAATTACACTCATACTTACCTGTCCTAAGTTAGATTATGGAAATTTGTAGCCTGGACAGTTTTTTAACTGAATATAAATGTTAGAATTAGAATGTTGGTGTCTGCTGCTATAAATTGGACTAAGTGACAGATTGCACACAAATGCAGGAAGAAAAGTAGGTCGATTTCTCAGGAACTAAAATAAATATATTGTGCTGACTGCTGTATTGCAGCAGGGTGGGAATTTATCAATCCCGAGTGTAATCTACCAATYTGGAGAAAACTTAAATGGTTGAATTATTTGTAGATTTTTATTTTAAAATTAATTTAAAATGCAGAGCACTAATTGTGTTGGTGTGTGTTGCCTGGCTTGTAACGTGCATTACTTGGGTATTTTGACATTTYTTTTCAATAATATTTACTGCAGTTGGATTTGATGTTCCTGAGGGATTTTGTATCTCTTCCACACTGACATTTTTCCTTTCCCCCATGTTTTGGGCAGCTGGAGAAGAAGCAGACGACGCCCCCGTTCCAGCCACAGATCACAGACGATTATGGGTTGGAYAACTTCGACACGCAGTTCACCAGCGAGCCCGTGCAGCTCACCCCAGATGATGAGTATGTGCTGCTTTTCCCAAATCCASCTGCAAATTAGAAATTAATTCCTAAATTATCTGAAAAACACTAAGACAAGACTACGTACTTGCCATTAGAGCATAGTCATGTTACAGTAAATTCAAAATCTTATGATACAAGCCTGACCAGTGTTCTAACAAACTTAATCACTGCTCTCATTTGTTTTTCAGAGATATAATAAAGCGAATAGATCAGTCAGAATTTGAAGGATTTGAATATATTAATCCATTGTTGCTGTCAACAGAAGAAACAGTATGAAGGAATGACCTCGTTGGGGACAGTGTGAATGACATTAATTTATCCTTAACTACAGTATATGCATGCGAGGCTGGGGACTGGTCACTTTGGATGGAGACCAATGATCTAAAAACAAATTTGCTGCTGAAAATCAAAGAAGAGAATAATGATTTTGGTGGGTGTCCTCTGCCACTTAGTGATTCTTAAGTTCTGGGCACTGACACAACTGGCTTCATTAATGAAGGAATTTGCATTTTGTGCCTGTTTCATGAAGGATTGAAACGTTCATTGCATCCCTGCAAAAGGAGATCATGAGAAACTTTGAGATCCACACACTTTCTACAAACATTTGATGCAATGAGCTCCCAGTTGAAGAGTATTACAGTGTAACATCCTGAAGAATAAAATATATTACGGTGGTGTTGAAGCTTATTTTTGATGCCTTTTTTCACAAGTGGTACCTGTCTTAACATCTCAGATATATTTAAAAGGAGTTGTGTTTTATTAGCAATCAAAACATAAATTTGGGTACAGGATTTAAGTGCCTAAATGGATAAACTGCATTGAAGGATATTGCGTATTTGGGACGTTCTTACACCTGGTAAGTTCTGCTTGTTAATATTAAAGTAACATTTCCATCTTAAACATACAGTTCACAGCTGCAGMCTGATGTTTAGTTGCATTTTTACAGGATTTGGAATGCAGAGTGACTCRGTGAGATTAATTCCAAATTAAAATTTACGGTATCAATTTCAGAATCCGTTGTCTTAAACTCCAAATTTACCAAAATGTAGAGATTGAAGAAGACTAAATTTGCACACAAAGGATTTCTAAACATACTTAAGCAGTGCCTACACCTACAATGATATTRTGTTGTATATTAGATTTTTGAAAAGTATTTTTATCAACAATACAAATATTCAGATGTAGAGCAAAAGCATAGTAAAGCATAGCCTTAAAGTTTAAGTAGTAAATCTAGAAGAACCATAAGATAAAATCCACTTTCCTGATAAAGCACACCTCCTACTTATGATAAACTGTCTGCTTACAGTTGCTCAGTGTACATTAATAACTAAKCATTCTGCATCAGAGAATGGGATCTTTCAGAAATGATTTGCATCAAAGTAGTACAATTTTTTTAATGGAAGAAAAATGAATACCTAAGAAATTGGAAGAAGCAWAAGACAACGATGGAATCCCTTCTGGTGGGATCTGGGGGGTGCCAGGGGGGGCCAGGGCATCTGAAAGGGGAGGAACTCAGGAGCTGGCAAAGCTGAGTTTGGGGTCCTGGAGCTGCAGCTGCCTCWGCTCTGCTGCCTTGGGCTGGGCTTGGGCTTCAGGGGCTGTGTGGGAAAGAAAAAAAAAAACCCTGTGCTTATGGCATCTTACCTGATTTGGTGTAAAACACAGGATCAATTGTGACACTTTCACTTTCTTTACATTAACCTATGGTTTTCTCAGGGTACAGCATTGCATTAGGTGCTGAACATGACATCTTTGGGATTCACATCCAAGTCATGAGGTGCTAGGACCAGACTGCCAAAACATTGTTTGAAATATTCAATTAATCATTGATTAACAATCTACGTTTTGTATCCCCTCCTTAGCCACAATTATGCAGACCTGTGGTTGTTTAGTTCTACGAATCCCATTCAGGTTTCAGTTGTGGGTTTCTCTGTTGGACTGTAGCTTTTCATATTCAGCAAAATGTGTTTTAATCAGCACTAAATAATTTAACTAGTAAAAAGTACTTGCCTCAAATGCCTGGACTTTAGATACTTTATTATCTACTGAAGGCAACATTACCTTTTAAATGTAACCTGACATTTTTTTAATTGCTCCTTTTCCCCTCTTATTTTATTTACCCTGAATAACTTCCCATTCAGTGTTTTCAACTCCCCTGGTACTGAAGCTAATCCGTAGTGATCAGAGTGACTGCAGGCAGCTCATGAATGGAACTGKGACAGGTTAAGCTGTCCTTTGACATGCCAGGGCATGGAACTTTAAACTGGAAATATTAGAAATGTGGGTTGGGGTTTTTTTTAACCTTTTTTCTAGGTTTCAGAACATTTTGGGAGGGAGGGAAGGAAGAATAGAAAGACACATTTTGCTAAACAAACATTGTAAAGACTATTTGATTTTTATTTAAGACTTTACAGGCATTTACAATGTTGCTGTGTTGCCAAATAGTTTGCTGGGTACAAGTTTGGTTGCTCATGTGCAAGTGTTTGAATAATGTTCTGTTCATGATGAAGGGGAAATTTTTTATATAAAGTACTTGTTTTATAAATAAAAGAAAATGAAGGATGTAATTAAATGTGTGGTTTGGAAAAAAAAAATCCTAATATATTACAAATGGATCTGGTAATGATATATAGTTGTCTTATTTGAAATAGTAAATGAAAATTCTAGCTAATTTAATGATTGTAAAACAGTAAATATGTTCTTGTAGTTTTGTATAATTAATTAGTTGGGATCTTTGCTGACCAGTTTTAATTGTGCAGAAGATGGTATACTAATCCATAACAGCTGAGATCATTTATATTCTTGCACATCTATTAAAGAMTTTAATGAAAAAGTTAATAGACTGTTATTATTTGTCAGTAAACTGGGCTATGTCCAACTTCTGAAACAGACCCTACTGTTAAATTAACTCCATAGGAGCCTTTGTGTATTTTTATACTGTACTGTGTTTATTCTGTGTCTGAATCCCAACTCAGCTGCAGCTTTGGAGGTCCAGGGCAATAAACTAGAGCAGGTTGGTGATCTCATCCCTTGGTTTGTGGTTACTGAACTGTCACTAAATGTCATTTATTGCCATTCCAGGCTTACCCAGTGTTCACCTGCTCCTGTTGAGAAGGGACCAGAAGAGCAGCTGAGCCCCTGAACCCCTTCCAGCCCCAACAGGCTCTGGGTTGTTCCCTGCTCTCAGCACTGGTGGTGCGTGGGGGGGCTGTGTGGCTACAAAAAGGAGCTCTTGATTCACTGAGTGTTCAATCTCCCTTTTGCAGCTTAATTAGCCCAGTCATGTTAATCGCCTGTTTAACACAGATTCTGACTTAGAAACCTGCACAGTAAGGTTTGAATTTAGCTGGGCTCCTTCACAAACATAAAAACCCCACCCCCTTTACTTGGTCTGAGGTGTGTTTTAACATAGCTACAATCACAGATTCAATTCTACAATTACATTTTCTTAGTTAGATCTTAAAATAATGGAAAACACTTRAGTTCAAATGACTTTAACTAAGTTTATTTTCATAAATTACCTGTTTAGGAAAAAAATACCAGTAAACTTTTGGATTAGAGTAAGTAACAGTTGTCTTTTGCTCAGCTGCTTTCTTCTGTCCTGGGAGAGTCAGAACTGTGGTGCCTCAGACAAAGCAGGGTCTCCAGGGATTTCCAATAGCACATTTTTTCAGGAGTGCCAAGTCTGATTTCCCTGGGGGTCTCTGGGACACCCCAGAGCACCATTTTCAGAACTAGAACTACTTTACATACATTTGAGAGGCTTCAACATAAAAAAAGCCCAAATAGGGAGGTGGCACTTGACCTTCCATTGAGTTACTGGTTTGTGATCCTTAAGCAAGTCAGAGACAAGGCTGTGCTTGACATGTTTTTTCCTTTTCCTTGGAGAATCTTCATCCTTGGCCTTGTTCCTTGGCTCTCCATTCTTCTGGATTTACCACATGACATCATCTGCACTTTCAGACAAGCACCTGGCAAGGTGGCCATCGATATCCAGCTGTGAGAGTCTGCAAACACAGAGTTTGTGCAGTGAGAAAACACTCAAATCCTATTGACTGTTCTTTACCCTCTSCCAGAAGTGTGCTGGTACCTTAGTGGGGGAATCACTCCTGTGCCCAGCAAATGCACTAAAACCTCCTTTCCTTGCCATTACTGCTGCTCAAACTGGAGCTGAGTAGCACAGAATATGGAGACCTGATGCATTTTAAGCCTTTCTGTCTAAATATCTTGATAGAACGACCAAAATTGTATAAATATTAATGCAGCCACTGCCGTCTCCTTGTTCAGCCTCAAACAATAGGAAAAGTTGCACCCAACAGAGCTTGCAGGATTAGAGGCCTTGTTGAAAAGCACATTTTCAACAACTCTGACAGCCTGAGTACTGTAAAATTGTGTTAACAGCTCTTACTGTAGAGCAGATACTCAACTTGTAAACTGGATTAAAGTAGGTAATTCTGACAGTTAAAAAGGACCTTACAGTGGTTTTTTCTGCTTGTGTTATTCTGTATACAGAGGATGCATCCAGAATCTGCTGGGGTTCAGTTACAGGAAAGGYATGAAAGAAAACCAAAACACAAACTTACCTTCCACTAAACTGCATCAGACACATTGGACAACTGTCAAGAGTTGAAGATCCTTCGCTCTGGTTTTCCATCTTCTCCTCACAGCTCTCAGCCCCAGGAGTGCTCCCGAGCCGAGGCTTCTCCACAGGAGCCCCTCTGGCCTCTCCCCCTGGAACATCCCCTTGATGTGTTTGCATTTCAGGCTCTTTCTCTCCCTTTTCTCTTCTGTCTGCCCTGCTGTTCTGCTGAGGGCTGGAAGCTGCTGCAGGGCTTTGTGCCAATGCCAAGGGCTGTGCTGTGCTGCTGTGTCCACGCAGTTTACATGACTTAGGACTCACATCCAGGTTTGAAACACCTCTTGTCTCTTCCCCAGCCRCAGTTTTGGCTTGATCTGTTCTGGYTCCCCAGCRGGTTTTCTCAGCTGTAGAWSATAAACTTTTCAGTTTATCTGCTTGGCCTTGTCCTTTATGTAACTCATTGCTCTGGCTCTGTGTTGGCTGWTGGGAGCTCAGATCCTCAGGGTTCAGACATTTTTCTTTGTGAAAAGATGGGAATGATACCCACTGAAAGTCTTTTTTTCCAACTGTAAAGACTTCCTGGTGTTCTGGACTCTTTTCCTCAGCCTTCTACAACACACACAGAGAGAATGTTTTAAGCAAATGTACCTCAATCAATACCTAAACCCCAGGCTTTGGGAACACATTGCAAATACTGAGAAAGCTGAAGTACACTGAAGAAAAGAACATTTTATTTACATCCCTTTTCTGGCACCCATAAAGCAATCAGGAGCTTCCTGGAGCTGATGAAATATGCGTCTTCCCTTAACATTTCTAAATAAATACAATGGGTACTCGTGCTCCAGAGACCAAGGATGAGAACAGCAACCTGCTGCTGGTCAGGGGATAAAAAAAGTACTTTATTAGCAGTTATATTTTTTGTGCTGTGATCTTGCCTAGTGCTGCTGGAGTGATGTCAGGGTGGTTCTGTGCAATTATCTCCTCCATTAGAGTTTGCCTTTTCCAGTTTCATTCCTTTGGGACATGCTGGTGGTTTATGGCAGTCACCATCTTTACACAGCCTCCCTCTTCCCARCAAAATGTTGGAAAGAATTTGCTGTACTGCCAAAAAAAGCTGTCCTTATATTCCCTGCCACACCATGCTCGGGCACACCACTGCTGGGAGAGAATAAAGAGCTGAAACCCCACATCTCTAAAAGCTATTTCAGGTTGTTTCCCATTAACCAGGCTGTCGCTATTGGAAGCAGGACACAAAGTGCAAAAACAAGGATACAGCACGCTACCTTTTCCAAGAACTCCGGAAAGCTGGGCACTGTGTCCCAGTTTGTGCAGTGTGAATTTTGACTGATGTCTTTCAGTAACAAAATCCAGGTTTTTTCACACTCMTTTAATTCTTCCTTTTCAAACCAGGAACATCTGTCAGTCGATGTCCTGTAAAGACAGACACAGTCCAACAGTTTGAAGGCAGCAGAGAGGAAAGAAAATACTCCTACACTGATGCCTCTTTTATCTGGCACACAAAGACATTATTTAGCCTGTAAACTAAACTACTTTTTTACAGCTTTCTAAGACTTAAGTAATTTATACAGGTAGCAAAAAATTAATGTCTAAATGCTTTCTTTCCTGCTTGTAACAAATGAGCTGTAGGCATCTATCACTATTTTTACTTCCAAGARAAACAGTTAAGTGCAGCCACTGTTTTATCTTCTCAACACCTGCTGAGTAGAGAAATCATGGAAGTGCTGAACTGAGGGTGGCAATTACACTGGTTCTCATGTATGTCAGGGCACTCCCGCACTGCCATTTGAAATTACTGATTATCTTCCCAAACAACTTGATGTAATCGATCCTAGGAACTATAAGCACTAGAAGATAATGCTGTATAAAGACAATTCCAAGGGGAGCATGGTTTGTTAATGTCACAATGGTATTTCCAGCATTCTTCCTCATGTGTTTTCTTGGGTCACTGTCCAGGAATGAAGCTGCACGGTGAAGAAATTAGAAATTACAAGATCTCAAGAGTGATGAACCTTTGCCAGCCCGTGGTGGAAGGGACACAGCAATGGTGTGGGGTCATCCCCCTGGGCTCAAATATGAACCGAGCCACTGACTGCCTTCAGTCCTCCGCCACCAGGGCTGGAAAAAGCAGGAATTACTTCTGCTCTCCTGTGAGCTGTATTCTGGATGAAAGAAAACTGAGTTTTCACACATTAACATTTCTCAGGCCCTGTCCTCGCCTGTGCTGTTCCGTGCTGAGGAATGTGCGGAAGGCGTGGGGCCCGGTGTGCTTTATCCCCCAATTTTATCTCGTATTTTTTAAATGACACTACAGGCCGTTTTTTATGAAATAACCTTTAACAGACAATTCTGACGGCGAAACGCCGCGGGTCGCTGGGGCGGTGCAGTCCCGGCCTGGGTGAGGCGCTCCGGCCCCCGGGATCGGTTTAATCCCCCTGGAGCAGATCCGATCCCCCCGTGACCGATCTGATCCCCCTGGAGCCGATCTGATCCCCCGGGATCGTTCTAATCCCCCTGGAGCCGATCCGATCCCCCGGGGCCGATCCGATCCCCCCGGGACCGATCTGATCCCCCTGGAGCCGATCTGATCCCCCTGGAGCCGATCTGATCCCCCGGGATGGATATGATCCCCCTGGAGCCGATGCGATCCCCCGGAGCCGATCCGATACCCCCGGGACCGATCTGATCACCCGGGATCGATCTGATCACCCGGGATCGATCTGATCACCCTGGATCTATCTGATCCCCCTGGAGCTGATCCGATCCTCCTGGAGCCGATCCGATCCCCCGGGACCGATATGATCCCCCTGGAGCCGATCCGATCCCCCTGGAGCCGATGCGATCCTCCCGGGGCCGATCCGATCCTCCTGGAGCTGATCCGATCCCCCTGGAGCCGATGCGATCCTCCCGGGGCCGATCTGATCCCCCCGGTCCCGACTCACTGGGGCCTCGGCGGGGGCTCAGGGCCGGGGCCGCGGGCGGACGGCGCCGTCCGGGGCTTCAGGCGCAGCTTGGCGGCTCCTTCCTCACACATGGCCCGGGCTCCCCGCGCCTCGCCGGGGGACGGCGCTGGCGGCCGAGGGAAGGCGGGGAGAGAGGGCGGCCGGGCCTTCCTCCTCTTCCTCCTCCTCCTCCTCCTCCTCCTGCCGCGGCGCGTTGTGACTCTCCGCCCTCAGAGCCGCCTTCACTGCCCGGGGCGGCGGGAGCGGGCGACGAGTTCTGAGGGCACCTTGAGGGGAGCCTGCCGTTCCCCAGCCACTACGCCCCTCAGCCAGCGGGGGCTGGTCTGCCTGGAAAACGCCCATTTTTSTGTTACTTTTACCCCTCAAACTTGATGTTTTTGTGTGGTTTTAGTGTGTTGGGAAGGGCAGGTTTGAGGCTGCGATGGGGGGCACCCGTTGCTGAGGGGGACAAGATGGCGGCGGGTCCCGCCCTGGCTGTGGAACTGCCGCGCCCCAGCAAACCCAAAGGCTGTTCTTCCAAAAAAAAAAAAAAAAATAAAATGAACCGGGAGCGCCCCTCTGACCTAATTTCTCTTTGAGAGAAGAAGCTGAAGTGATGCAGTTTGACGTGTTTGGCGGGAATGTCGCCGTGTGGCTTGAAATAAAAGTGCTGGAGAGGGTCTGAACACTCTCCGGGCTGCAGCCTTCTCAGAAAAAAGGCACCAGAGGAATGGTGACAGACGTTTTACCCTCCAACAGTGCATGAAAGGATCAGGAAGTAACTCTACTGTTAAATTCTTTAAAATTGGTTCCAAAAAATAATTGTACGAGGAAATAAATCCAGTTTGGTAACAGGTGTTTATGAGGGAGCACCAGTACAGAGCACCCCTTCCATAAACCCAATTTATTATTAGTGAAAGATTAATCCTTTTCTGTAACTGCATTTATGTATCACTGCATGTCTGTGGACAGTTTCATCTTTGGATTCTTCCCAGTTGAAAGGAGACATCWGCATTGACTGTGTTAAAAGTTAGACCTGTGAATCATTGCATTGGTCACACAGCCCAGCAAAAATCTGAATTAACAGTTGACGTGACTTAATGACTCAGGTACCTTGTGTTTTAGTGAGTCCATAATGTCTTTTATTCTATATAATAACTAATTTCTTTACATGAAATGAGCATTCATAGGCGAACTTTTGTAGATAAAAATGTTGGAAAAGCAAAGTATTGGTTTGCTCCCAGAATTTGTGTCAGTTTATACAACAGGTAGCCCAGCTGAAAAATACAAATGATAAAAAATCGYCACACTGGAGGGCCAACAGTTCAGCTGTGTGATGGACAGACTAAAACGAGAATAAAATTGAGGAAGAAAGAAACGRCAGTGGGAAAGCCCAACCCCTGTCACACAGATTAACCTTTTCCCACATTAATATCTGTTACAGCCACTGCAGTGCCCAGGCAACACTCAAGGGACAGTCACGGTGTTCTGCCTGTCATTTTTGTTGCCATTTAGAAGCTGCTTTCCAGTGTGGTGAAAGGAAATCCCAGGAAAAAGGCCCCCTTTTCCTTCTCTGTCGGGAAAGGCGTTCCCCTCAAAAGCTGCAGGTGGAAAAAAGGTAAGTGGAACAGAGGCAAGGGGTGAATTTGGATCTGAATGTGGAGAGGAAGGTGGTGATGGCAGCAGAGCAAAAAAAAAAGCAGGAGAAAGGGGGTGTAAATAAAGCAAAAGTGTGGATTGCAGAGGAGATTGGCCGTGGAAGTGGTGGAAAATGAGGTGACAAGGAGGGGTAGAAATTAGATTTCACATCTAGCTGAAGAAGTGTTCCTTTGGGGATTTTACTCAGGATCACTGGGAATTGTGGCCCAGCGCTGACTGTCACCACATGGAGGCAGCAAACTATGCAAAAACAGGGATTTAACAAAATCCGGGGGGCTGTGAAAGCACTCCGAACATACTCCTGGGTGTATCTGTCTTAATGATCAGTTATGCCACGGGGTTTCTTTTATTCCGTGATGTTTGGGTTAGTGTTTTATGTTTTATGACCCCTTGGACACTACTTGGACAATCCTCTGCTCCTAAATCATGTGTTGTGCTCATGGATTGATGTTGTTAGATACGACTTCTCCCAGAACAACCATCAGGAGTGCAGCCTGTTCTTTATGCTGGAGGTGTTGCCGTGTGGTGCTGTGAGCACTTAGAGCATTTGAAAAAGTTTTGTTATGGGGGAACATAAAAATTGGTTATTGTGCAGTAAGGGCCACAAATGGAAGGATATAATAAAAAGAATAGGGGAAATTATTACTGCAGCTTCTGCTTGTAAAAAGCAAAGGGGAAAACCTTGCTTCTGTAGCAACTGTAGATTGTGTGTAGGTTTGGATTTTGCATATTTAACTTAAAATTCTAAGATTTTTTTTATTGTTGTCYGTTTAATGCATACCCGTTGTAACCAGCACATGAATGTTCTCATTCTTGCTCTATCTGCTTCTGTAACTACATACAGATTTCAAACTACAAATCTTTGTTCATTAAGAGTATTAAGTATTTTATTTCTGCAGCTTTCCAGAATTAATAATGTACTAAGAATAGGARGGTGAAGTGTAGAATAGGCCTTGTTCTTGGGTTTGCCTGTTTGCACAAGATCATATCTACTGTTTCCTCCACTGCATGGAAATCCTATTACTTCTTGCTTGATTTTGGGTCTTGCTAATTTAATAATTAGAATGTTTAGTGGTCTTAGAAAAAAAGTTCTCCGAGAAATGCAGACAGTAATCTTTATCATAATCAGCCTTGACTGGATTTGAGCCAGTGGTCAAGGGATTTGAGCTTGTGGAAGCCAGAATGCTCCTACAGATTATCTGCAGGGATTTCCTTGTAAAKGGAGTGCCAGCATGTGTAGTTATCTCTTCCCTGTTGAGTCTCATCAAGCTGCACACGCCTAATCTTTACTTACATGGTCCCTGATTCTTGCTGTAAAGTGGGCCTCAGTTTTAACTTTTGCTCTCAGGAAGAAGGGGCTATTATAACAAATTCTAATCCTTTTGCAGTTCCACAATCACTAAAGCCTATAAATTGCCTGCCAAACAAACCAAGTGATCTTTTCCTGGGCTGAGGGAAAGAGGAGAGTGTAAAACGCAGGTGCCAGCATTTGCTGGGGAAGAACTGGTACATTATCAACTAATCCGCCTTCTGCTATTTCTGATTTCCTCCCCAACAGCTGCAGCATTGAATGAGAGCTTCTGCAYTTGGGAAGAATTAGAAAGCCTGGTAATGCAGGGTCTCTATTACAGATACARCAGCTCACAGACAGGGAGGAGATTTTTGCTGCCGGTGTAGAATTTGGAGTGCTAGGCATTTTATAGCCTGGAAAAATTGTAATTTTCAGCTGTTGTTATGGAGTAATCGATGAAGAAGAGATGCCACAGTTTCTGCTGGGTTTCTCTCAGAGCCTGATGTCATTGCATGCAGAAGCTATTATTTTTTTTAATGTACCACTTCGAGGCTGAAAGCACATGCAATTTTTATTAAAACTTTTTTTTTATGACGACTGATGCTCGCTGATAGCTTTAGTCCTTCTGGAATATCTTTGCTTCTGTAGTGATAGTTCCTGTATCAGATAAAAATGTTCAGAAGAAATTGTTCCTTGCTAGACCACTGAAATATTATTATATTTTAATTATTTTATCTAATCAGTGCTTAGCTTAGGAGTACATGCTGATAATTTTTTGTCCTTGTCAAATAGTCTGTGACTTCACTCAAGGATGAGCGTGTCCACCCTGCTAAATGTAATAAAGGACAATGTCCCCAAAGAGACCACAGTCTGAAGAGCAGAGCAGCAGGGAAATCTGCTGCAGCAAATGTCCCACAGCTGAAATGCTGGCACTGTAGTGTCACAATGTGTCCCCTCAACGGCCCAGTGGCAGCAGATGCATCCCTGGAAAGAGTAACTCAGCCACACTGACCCATTCAGTGCAATGCGAATCACTGGCTGTGGTGAAATGGGAAAGTTTGACTCTTTTCTTTAATATCATGTGTTACAATTAAGCCACAAAATGAGGAAAACTGGGTAAGACTGGCTTAGTCAGGAGAATAAAGATGAGACGTGCATTTCAGTTTGAGAAGTGCAGGCTCACTGCTGCTTCCAGAGAAAGTCACTCAAGTGGAGACAGTTTTGTGGGCTCTCCTTAATTTTAGCTGATGGAAACGTTCTCTTTTCCACAAAAAGTCACTGCCTTTGAAACCTGCTCCTTCTGGTACCTCACCAAAGCAGAATTTGCCAACATCCAGTGCACAACTCATCTCTTCAATTCAGCCTTTCCGARTGCAAGGACAGCTCAGTACCTGTGTGGCTGGAGATGGAAAATCCAGCCTTGTGACATTTATATGCCAAGATGGGAAGACCTAAAAAGAGGACTAGGGAGACTAGCATGGCATTTGCGGGTACCGGGTTGCCAAGGAGGCATATTGTATTGAAACAGTTGCCTGGGAAACATTTAAAAATACATTGAATGGAAAAGCATATGTGATGTGCCCACAAGTGTTCTGTGTGAATGAAATGCCATGGCTGATGATGGCACCAAGAGACTGTTACTATTACATGTAAAAATGCTGCAAGTGATGTGTGGTTTTTTCCCTTTTGTGGTGTTTTCCTACCCTTTTTTGCAGGAGGTGCACTGAGGGAAGGTTGTTTTGCTCTCAGCTGATGGATTAAAGGGAATGTAGGGAAGGTGGAACACACAGGCAGCAGCAGCAGCTGGGGATGGCAAGAGCAATTTGGCTTCATTTAGGCATCCTAAACCAATTGACAAGGAGTCTGCACAATTCCCCCTCAAAAGTAATAACAGCACTGCTCAAACTCCTACAGTATAAAGATAAATGGTTCTCTGAGCATCGCCACTTTAATCGGTGCTAAAATGCTTTTGGGAAGCTCTGTTGTCATTGCAATGGTGTGTAAACATCATGGAAAATGCAGGGGTTTTGATCAAAGGCTGGACAATTTATATGGAAAAGTCTCTCACTGACCTTATTTTTTGTTTGGGGCGCTGAAATAGAGGGAGATGAAGGGAGAAAGTTTCAGAAGACAGATCACTGCTCTAGTCCTTCCTCAGATCAGTCAGTTACTGAGAGATAGCACAAATGAATGATGTCACCAGAACCAAACAAACAATCATATTCACTCTTTGTCTCACAGAAAAAA